CACTGGACTGTGTGATTACCCGGTCTTGTCACAAGTGTGGATTTCACTTTGCAGCATACCGAGGGCGCATTAGAGGCAGGGCCCGGAACACCTGGAAAACCTGGGTTGCAGATGTTTTCAGCGGGCCCTGGGGACGCCTCCTCTTCCTGAAATGGCGCTGCAGGCAGTTTTCTCTCTGCCCTCCCTTCTCCCCCACCCCGCCCTCTACCCCATTACCACTAATGACCCCCTTGAAGTTTTATGACTTTGCAACTGCTATATGGTGAGCCACATCTGAAAGGACATAAATCCTCAAAGTGAAGGCAATTTGTCAGCACAGTATTAAAACAAAATGTGGAGAAGGAACACTTCAGCAAAAGCCAGGCTTGCTAACCCATCAAAAGTAAGTGTATTTAATTTGAGCTGAATCAGGAAGACTGTTTGGATGTCTTACATATTTATACTGCTGTGTGCAGGCTTCATTTTACCCCAAAGGCTGCTTGTAATCCTGTCCCTCTGCAAAAATGTCTTCTCTAGCTTTAAGCTAAATTCTGAATCCTCACTATAGTCTGGAGTACTTGTGTGCTGGCTGCACCCACCTTAGTACTGTTTCTTGAATATCACATTTTCCCTCCATTTTCCTACCGCTTCCTTACTACTTCACTCAAAAGGAGGCTGCTCGATTTATCTCAAAGATTGGATTTTTAATATAAACCTTAACTAGTCTTCCTCCAGTTTCCACCGGCCTTGCCTAAAAGCAGTACAAACTAGTCTCCATGAGGCTGTCAAAGTGATCTTTCAGAAATATATATCCATTACATTGCTCTCCTGCTTAGAACTTCAATGGCTCCCCGTCGCCTATAGAGTCAAGATCAAAGTACTTATAAGGGAATTCATGGCTGTTGTCTACCTCTACTCTGCATTGTGCTGTTTCATTGTTTCCATGCTTTCCCTGCCTCTGATGGGAATGCTTCTTCCTCTTAGCTGCATGGCTGGAAAGTCCATTCAAAATTCATCATTCAAATCCCATGTCAGTCATCATCTATTTTCGAAAGCTTTCTGACTTAATGTCTGTTTATTTCATCATTGCCTCCTTGAGATTATTTTTGTCTCTTGTATATGCTTGTATAGGGTACTGTAATTTGTTATAATATCTCTTTTACTAAATTATAATTCCTTGAAAGTAGAGACTATGTATTACTCATTCTTGTGTCTTCAGCATTTAGCCTAGTGCCTGCCATGCAGTAAGCTCCCCACAGCTACTTCCTGAATTGATTTATGCTTATTCACATAACTAGTGGATGTCTGATGGAAAATAAGACAGTGTATACAAATATGAGAGAGGAAATATGGCTTGAAGTGGAGGAGTCATAAATCAAATAGGTTATATGAGACTGACTCCATGTTTTTTTCCAATCAGATTGGAGTTGTTGTCTCACTTCTGAGCTGGGTGAAAATGATCATGTTTCTATTTTTCTCTCCAGTCTCTTCTTTCCTCAATGTGCTTTCTCCTTCCTGGAACTAAGGAGCACTGCTCTGCAGGCCTTCCTTCCTCATCATCCGTTTCCTTTGTTGGGCTTAGCCTAAGAACATGAGGTCAGGTTAACCCAAAACAGTCCCAGTGCACATCTTTGGTCCTAATTTCATCATGAAAAGTAGACCTTCTCACTCTCAAGTTTCAGGGTTTGGACAATAAATTTTGTGACCATCCTTCATAGATATACACACAATAGGGATACACACAACAGGGACAAAATAGGGATAAAGAAAGTAAGGGAAGAGGAAGGGGGGAAGTGGGAGAAGGGAAATGAGAACATGGTTAGTGTTGGTTAAAGAAGAAAGGGGGAAAGGAAAGACTACCTGTTGCAGGAATGATAATAAGTAATATCAATGATGTTATAGGATTTGAAATAGTTTCTTGTGCATCTCATTGGATTTTCCCAACTTGATGTGGTAGATAGAACAGGAAACACAGTCCTTGTTTACAGATGAGGAAGCTGCAACTTCATTTGGCCCAAGTGTACACAGTATGTAGCTGCACCAGAATTTGAATCTACATTTTTCTACCTACAAGTCTGCTTCATTTTTGATGTGTCTTTTGTGATTTCATAGCTCTTTACTTTTAATTTGTGATGAAAATTCAGTAATAAAGAATGAGAACTCTTTTTGGTAGAATTCTGCCTAGAATGATCCCTTGTGGCTGAAAACCAGAGGGGACTTCACGTGTCCTTTCTTCAAATTCTCTACCCTATTCTAAGAGTCCACTACTATCACTATCCACAGTGCAGCAAAAAAATCTCAAACATACCTTGCAGGATGCATAGACTTAAGAGAGAGACATTTCCAGCATTTTCACAGACATGGCAGTATAAAACCTAAACACAAATATCAGTTAAGAAATTAAATTCATGAAGAAGAACTTGTAGTAGGTACTGTTGGTGTCTGACCTCTATCACCTAAATGTCCTCACTGCTAACATCTATGACTCTCTGCCTGCAGATTTCTTTAGTGATAGGGACATATTTCCTCCACAATCAGGGCAGGCCAGAAGTGCCAGTAAGTGAATACCCCTGGGAGCAGCTCTTATCAATGAGCAACAGTTATTGGTAGATAAATACCCCAGCTTCTTCCTTCTTCCAACGGGGGGAGAGTCAATTCTGACACCTGTTTGGAACCATCTTTGGGGTTCCCCAGGGAAAGTGACCTTCAACTCCCTCTAGCAGGAGCCTACTTATTTGGGTACCCTGCATTGATATCCTTGTCCTTTGTGGAGAAAATGAAAATTTCTGACCAGGATTTCCGCCTAGCCTTAATAGCACCCATTATGTTTATACAAAAGCCTGCTTTGCTTGTTTATGAGAGCAGCGGGATGTTTACCAACAACAGAGCCACTGGTCAGTCACAGGAATACTGGTGAAGGGGAGGGGTGGGGAGGAAACACCCATTCTCTGTTCCTGTTATGTAATTGGTCTGGTGTCTGCCAGTCACCAGAGACCCGCCCACAGAGTTCCTCCTAGTGCCAGGGGTAGAGAAGCAGAGCGCTGCCCTGAGAGTGGGAAGCAAGTGATACGAGCATGAGAGCTGGGAGCTTGGAGAGTGGAGAAGGGAAGGCTGGTGGGAGAACTAGGAGAGAGTGGAGGCTGGCAGAGGAAAGCTGGAGCTGATGAGAGACTGAGACCTACTGTGAGAATAAAACCCCCTTTAAATCCCCCAACTTTCCACCCATGCCTTTATTCAGCCTTAGTGAATTCATTGGGAACTTGCCGTGGGTGGGGAACCCCCTATTCCCGGAGCAACATCCTACCTATCTAACTTTCTCATTTCCCTCCTGGTGCTTCTTAGTATCACCTCCCAAATAGACGACTTGCACTAAAATTCAAGTCTCAAGGTCTGCTTCCAGGGCGACCCATTTAAAACATTCCTCCTTAAAATCTGAACTTTGAGCACTTTCAGAAAGATATTACAGTTCACTGCAGTTAACAAATCAACTTGAAATAAGAAAGTAACAATTTTGCACAAAATGAATTCCCTGAGACTGAGCACAGAAGGAGATGAGCATCCTTGGTGACCAATGACCAAAGCCAGTACCTCCTGGAGCAGCTGTATGTAACTCTCCAGTTAGATGTATGCTGAGTCCCACTGGGCATTTACAGGTTTATGTTTGTCATCAGATTCTGCAGTTGTACATATTGCCTTCTTACTGTTCTCAGAGAAAGACATGTGCTTTTTCCTGATCAGGGCCAATTCTTTGTCCCTCACTGCGATGATATCATTCTGTTTACCTCAAAGACCCTGCTGCATTATTAAATCTCTCTTTTTTTCTTATAGTTGCCTTTTTTTACTCTGATGCCAGAGGAGTGTTCAAAAATATAATTCTTTATATAATGTCTATTTATATAACATAATGTCTACAATATGAAATCTCTTAACCACACACATGAATAAAAACTCCAGGACCTACAAGACCCTTTATGATTTAGACATGGTCATCTTTGGAGCCCTATAAATCATCCACTTCCCCAAAATATATACAGCCATACAACACTGCTTAGTGATATACCCCTTGTTTGTTTCCTTGGCACTCTCATACATCCACCCTTCTTTTTTACTTCCCCTAAAAGTGAGAATTAGTATTTCTATATTACAGCACACATCCACCCCTTAAACCCACTCTATATTGTTTTTAGAATAACTTATTTATGTGTTTGTCTTCCCTAGTGGCCTGTGAAAGCCTCAGAATAGGATATTTCATATGATTCATCTTTAAAACCACAGGGCTTATAACAGTGCCTTAGTTCACTTCAAACTGTGAATTCAGTAATTCTTATCAATTCTTGATTGTTACCTTCTGAAGACTGACTCACAGAAGCTCTCCAGGAATTAAGAGCATAATAAACATGTGAAGGCAAATGTTTGGTTCCAACATGAACAAACTAGACTCAGTTGGGAATTGGAGTCAGAAGCTACAGGGTCAAGTCCTGAATTCTATCAGGTTCTCTTTCTGGGAATTTAGGCAAGTTATTTAAACCCTCTCAGCCTAAATTAGCTCACCTTTAAAGTTATATAACAATTCTGCCTATTGTGCAGATTAAATGAGATCTTAAGGGGTAAAACATCTTTGTAAATTGGAAGATGCTTTAAAAAATGGAAGATATTATGATCACCATACATAAATGGTTTATCAGATGTTGAAAACACAATTTCTCTATCATTTGGAATTATTTCATTTACAAGACACAAAACCAGAAAAACAGTGACTTAAGAAATAGAAACCTATTTTTTCTCATTAACAAGAAAAAGGAATGTAAATAGTTGGTTCAGCTGCTTTATTAATACTGTCAGGGACCCAGGGTCTGTCTTTGTTTTTACTTCATCATATTTAGCTCATTGGGTTTCATCTTTATGCTTCTTGCCCCCAAAATGGCTGCCAGCCATTACAGAAATGACATTTTCTTCCAAGGCAGAAAGAAGGGAGATAAGAGAGGATTCAGAAGTCTCATTTGTTCTTTTTCAGGAGGAAAGCATAAGCTTTTCTAGAAGCCCCTATCAGGCTTCTCCTCCCATCTCATTGCCTGGAACTCACCTGGCCACTTTGGGCTACATGGAAGACTGGGGAAATGTTGTAGCTTTTACAACAGAGGAGAACAAGGAAGAAGGAGCTGGAGAGGGGCTGTTGGGATTGCCCGTCAACAGTGTTTGCCACAGGTATCTTCTTGAACATCACAGTTTTTTAATCAGTTGTTGAGCATTCATGCATAGCATTATGTTCTTAAAGCTGCTTCCAGTGGGAGAAGAATTCATCATTAGGGATGATTAAGAGTCAGTGTATCTTTTCAGATGTCTGGTCTTTCCTTCAGATATCAATAACCTTTAAATAAAAAATACAGAGTTTTGCCTTTGGTGGAAGAGTAGGTCACCCTAACTTAACACTCTATCTTCAGAAAACACACATATTAGAAGGACACCAGGAATGTTAGAGCTGAGGGAGCACCCTGAGAAGTAGGTTTCCAATACAGTTTGCAGTACCGGACCGTGTAGGAAGATAAACACAAAGCAACTTTAGACAGGAGGAGATTTAGAAACAGCAAAGAGGTGTCAGAAGAAAGTCAAATGCACACACACACACACAAACCAAACGAACAAAAAATAAAATAGTTCCATTCCTCTCTCTGCTCAAGTCCCAAGACTGCATTTACTTTATAAAGAGCAAGGCAATCTCCTTCCCTAGTCCCTCCAGCTAGCTGGGTATAATTTAGGGAAACCCAGGAAATCTTTAAGATTACTAGTGAGTTCATTGGAGGTGTTTATATCTTCCAGTAGCCTCTTGCTTTTCATTAGTTCTGTCAAATAGAGATAGAGGGGATCTTCAATACACATGTTCAGTGTGTTGCTTGAAAGTACACAGGGCTGTGAGTCTGTCCAAGGACCAGTTTGGTTAAGCAGTGTACCCGGGACTGTGTTTACCATACTGGACCACACAGCACTTCAAGGAGGATGACTCTCCTGCTCCAGCAGATGGCTACTTTCTGTTTTTAGAAGAGCCGACTTAGGGTGCCCATATGCTTTTAATCTTGTTGAAAGGTGTTCTGAAAACCCAGAGTCTATCAATTGCTTCTCATCATTCTCATTCAAGGTAGAGCAGAAAGGTATTAAAATTAATTTATTATTTAAAATGGTAGGATTGGATTGTATAATGCCCTTCACAGAAATGTAGGAATTGATTCAGGCAATAAATTTTAGACCAGACTGCAAAATCGTGGCGAACTATTCTGTCTGCACCACCGTATGAAAAATGACCCAGTGGAAGCAGTCCCTTATGTGTTTCTTTCCAGGTCTTCCCATCTCTTTCCTGTCTTTCTTTTTTTCCTGTCATCTACATAGTCCTTAACTTAGACTAGAAAGGCAGTGAGATAGGTGATTTTGTAACAGTCATCTGCCTGCAACATTCCCTGGCCTCTTTATTTTAAGGTCTGTGGTGCTTATACCTGCAGTTATCTTCTGGGAATGTTGCAGCTGCCAAGGCTTTTGTGAAGGACGTAACTAAATTCAGTCTCTACACTCTCATTCAAATTATGAAGTGACGTTTCCATGGTTAAAACTAAGACACCAGTCCTTTGAATGGAATTAGGCTGAAAATCTGTTTCTAGTCATCAAAGACAAGCATTGGATTATTTGTTAGATGGATTTATTTATTTTCATTGGTCAGCAAGGTTTCAAATAGATCTCATTTGTCAACTTCCAATATCATAATTACTGTTTCCTTAAGTCGCATACCACTGAAGGAAGTTGACCAACTTATTGGGATATATAGACAGTTGGAAATTTGTTCTTTAAAAAATAAATTTGAGAAATAAAAGCCAGATTCTTTGGGCTCCTTTGTAAAATGTAGTGTTGAAAATATAGTGTGTGCTGCAAATAATTGGAAATCTTAGAAGAGTTAGAAAAAACTCTTAGAGTTTAATTTTTCAGTTTCATCCCTCCCTATCCTCAGTCTTTACCACCTTTGTACAAGTAAAAAAATTTTCCCAGACAAGTGAAGGACTTCCCAAGGCCACATGACTAACTGGCATAAGATCTCAAATTTTGTTTCTTTTCGATATGAAGACTATTTTTTAAAAATACTGATTGTGCAATATTCATGTTCGATTCAAGTGCAGGAAAGAGCCACTGTTTAATTGGTTGTGTTAAAACCTTCATAAGGCAAAATGACAACAAAGTGAATCATCCTTTTCAAAGATTTCTCAGCAGAATGTAGTGTAAGATACACATGCTTGGGAGTTAGACGGATCTGGGTTTACATCTCAGCCTTGTGTTATGACCTTGAGAAAGTAACTCATCTCTTCTGAGAATAAGGATACTGATTTTGCACTGTTGTTGTGAAAATTAGCAGTACTGGATGTGAAATACATAGCACGGTACCTGGGATATAATAGGTACTCAAAAAATAGCAGCTTTTAGCAGGTAACATCAAACCTAACTTTTATATAAGTGATGGTGAGGCTTACATAATCCTAGGAAGAGAGAGGAAAAATGTGTACTGTGCCATGTAAAGTGAATAGACTGATAAATGAATCTAGGTATTAGACGCTCATTAATATTAACTGCTACCCACCCTTGAACTGAGTCAGCTCAGATATTGCAGGCTCTTTCAAATACCTTACCTAGGTCCTTAGCCAAATCTGAGCCAGATAGGGGGCAAAGTAGCAAAATCAGCCACTCCAGTTGAAGTGGGCTGAAAATATTCTTCTTGCCTTGAAGCATAATTATGCAACATACTTGGGACCCCCCACCCCCGTGGTTTCCCACTTTCCTCCTTATCATTAGTTTGTCCAGCCTTATGCTTCCATATCTACCTTGGTGTCCTGATTTGGATGCTGTTTCCTCTAGTGGAGCCTAGAACACTTTCCTGAGTCCCTGTCATCCTGCCTAGTCCTTATTACCCACCCCTTTCAGAAATGAGCACTATCACTTGGAGCCCTTGATGCTGACTGGGGTCCTGCTCTGTGTGGATTTTTCATTTGTAACCAGAATGCTTCTACTAAGTATACATTGCTATTTCCTGCAGATGGAGAGCCCAGGGTCAGAATAAGCTCAAGTTCACTACATCCTTCTGAATATCGTGATTGGAATGTGAGTCACCACCATTAGGTACTAATCCTCTGTTCTAGTTCATTCATCTACCTAGATTCTATAATAACCCAGCTTTTTCCTTTTTTTCCGCTGCTGAGTCTCCAGTTTCTGGCACCAAGCTGTCCTGAGCTGAAAATTCTTTAGGAGATCCACAGGTAAAAGCAAATGTTGATGAAGATATCATGATGAAGCTCATCTGTGCAGGGCATTAATATTCTCATATAATATACATTTTCCTTGAACTATACTTCTCCACTACTCTCTGATGTAAAGCCTTGGATACGTTCCCAAGAGACTTATTGTGGAGTTTCAGCAATACAACACTTCCCCTTCCAGGAGGTTTGGTGGAGCAGGGAGTCGTGGCTGGGAATCAGCCCTTCGTCTGATGTTAAGCCATGTGTCTTGTATGAGGCTTTATGGTTTTAATTCAAACTTTCTTTTTTCTTACTCATTCCATCATCCACAGAGCCTTGCATATGTGTTTGCAAATGTCTGAAATAGCAGTAGATAGACTGATTAGGCACTTCTTTAGAGAAACTTGGTATAATAATACAAAATAAAACCAGTGCTAATTTCGGTCTTTATTTACACAAATGAGGTCTTGGGGGCAGTGTCTGGGCACTGAGGGGCACTTGACTGAGACTGAGTGCAGCACAGAGGGCTAGGTTGCTGGGCACCACTACCTACATTTAGTATGCCCTTTCTCAAAGGCAACAGCAGTTGCTCTTCCTTCCATGTACGGTAGAAGGAGAAACTGAAGGAGACCCTGAATGGCAATCATGGACTGTAACTTCCAGGGATTTATTTTAGTAATTTGTCCTCAATAAGGGCCGACTACTTTGACTCACAGACTTATTCCAGGGGATTTGCTACTACTTTGAGCTGTTTTTAAATTAGAAAATGAACCTGGCAGTCCATCATGTCATTTAAAAAAATTTGATGAATAAAGATTATATTATAGACCCAACATGGATATGATGCGTGCTATTTATTGTTATTCCAGAAGTAGGGGCGGATTTCTGCCCCAAACTCTTACTGTTCCCCTGAGTTCCCATTATAATCAATGCCATGGATTGACAGGTTCCAGGAGCACCATCTGACATCATGAACCAGAAGAAATGGGATAAAGGACCAGACGTGCACAAATGGACATAGATCCTTGCAAAGCCACCTGGGTTTGTTAAGGATCTCTCGGTCACATGCAACAGAAAATAACCCTGGGCAGTGTAAGCACATTAAAGTCATTCTGTGCTGATCACAGTGTGATTCTTACAGAATTGAAGGAAGTGATGAATGACAGAGGTTCATGAGGGACAGGAATGAGTGCAGTGTGGACACCTTACCAGCAGAAATTTGGGGCCTTTTTCTCCAGGTAATAACAAATCAGATCTGTAAGTGTTCTGTTTCCAAATACTGTCATTCTGAATGTCAAAACCACATTTGAATGTTTGGGGTTAGGTGTCCATCTTTGGATTAAACTGTTAGGTCACTGGGGCAAGGTAAGTAAGGTAGGTAGGTCAGGATGGACAGAATTTCTGAGACACACCCATTGGCCTGAGAGTCAGTCTCTGAAAAGAAGTATTTGTTATGAATTGACCAGCCCTCCCAGACCCATTGTGTGCTATACACCTCATATCCCAACACTAACCATTACAATTAAGACATTTTCAAATGCTCCCGTACAGACTGCAAGGAAAAGGAAAATGAATTGTGCACACACACATACACACACACACACACAATCCAAGGGTGAGCAAACTAAAGCCATGTGATGATTTTATAACAAAGATGCTGAAGTTTTGTTGCTGAATAGAAATTTGTTCTTTGGCTCATAGAATGTTGGTTATGGGCTGGTGTGACTCCCTAAACTCCTTTGTTGAAGTCCTAATCCCCAATATGACAGAAAGGGACCTTATTTGGAGATACATTCTTTACAGTGGTAATCGTTTGAAAATGAAGTAATTAGGGTAGGATATAATCCAGTACAACTGGTGTTCTTATAAAAAGGGGAAATTTGGACACAGGTGACAGACACAGCACATAGGGAGAATGCCATGTGAAGATGAAGGCACGGGTCTGGGTAATGTATCTACGAGCCAAGGGACACAGAAGATTGCTAACAAACTACTGGAGGGTAGGTGAACAGCATGGAACAAGATCCTTTTTCACAGGCCTCAGAAGGAACCAACCCAGACGACACCTTGATCTTGAGCTTCTAGCCTTCAGAACTGTGAGACAATAAATTTTTGTTATTTAAGCCACCTAGTTTGTGGTAGTTTGTTATAGCAGCTCTACTAAACTGATACAGTGTTATCAAAATGTGCAAGGGCACTGGTTACACACTTAAAAATGACTGGATTGAAATTTAAATTTTCAGAGGAAAAGATCATCTCATAAGATTCTCTTTATATTAGATTGCTGAATTACTTTTCTACTGAGGCAATTCTTCACCTTCATTCCTGTAGTATGATATGTGAGCATTTCATTAAGTCCTCAAATGTATCACAGACCAAATCAGATTCTAAGTAAGTTGTTATGTAAATGGCTAATAGTCACATATGGGGATATGGCCTAGTATTCTTATGTTCTTAGGGAAATCTTCTGATGTTAAGCTATTCTTTCATCAGTTTTGTAATAATTAGGACTTGAGCTAAACAGTCACTGGGAAGTTGTAAAGAAATAGATGCTATTGCATTTTTAGGTTGACAGTGGACTTTTTCTCTGTGTAATTACTAACATTAGCTCAGCCATCTGTCCTTTTTATCAGTGAACCTATACATTTCAAAGACTCCAGCTGAGAAAAGCTTGACTATTTCTCTTCTCTAGCAAAATATGATTCCTAGTAATTTATAAATGTTTGGAATAGCAAAAATCCTTGCAGATAATGCAATGGTTTGTGTTGCATCTACCCAACTCCTAAATCACTGTCAAATGCCATGGCTTAAAAGGAGAATATGGTTCTGCTATGAAAGAAAAAAAAGGTACTGGTCTAGATGTTTGGAGAAGATAATAAGCTCAATCTGCAATTTCCTAACTCAGTACCAGTAAGCTCTGTGGCTATGTAGCATGTTATTGTAGGAGCATTTATCACAAGCTCCTACATGTTTAATGTTTATCTCCCCAATAGACTGTAAGTTCCATGAAGACCAAGAAGATATTTGTCTTGGCCTACATTGTGTCACATAAATCCAGCGTGCTGCAGATATTTTAATAAATAATGGTTGAGTAATAGGATAATTAAGTATGAAGGATCTGTTATCACAAGGGCTAGACAAAGTATTACAGTATGATACAGAATGTAGACAATTTAGTACTTAAGGTGATGTGTTTCTCCCTCTACTAATGTTTAATAAACTAATTATTTTAAACTTCCCAACTTGATGTGCCTTATCTTTTCTTTACAATCTTTAATAGTTCTCCATTTCTTATAGTACAAAGTTCAAAATGTACAGCAGAACTCTCTCTACAATTTGGCTTCAGTCAACACATCCAGGCTTCTCTCCTCCTGTTACACAGCCTTTCCTTTCTTTTACCTTTCTCCTCCCAATATGTTTTTAATAAGCAAGCCAGACAGCTGTTCTCAACCCCATATGCTCTGTGATGGTGTGCCTGCCTAGGGGATAGTGTTCCCTTCACGTCTATCTGTTTAAATTCTATTAATCTTGCAAGAGTCACCTCACTGCCTCTGAAGAAACTTCCACAAACTCACTTTTCTCTTTTTGCAAAATTAAATACTTCCTGTATCAGTGCCCCTCTAAATAGCATTTACATGGCAAATGAATTCTTTTTCCTTGATTGTCTGTATATGTCTACTGTTTATTGAGAATCCTTTTAGGGAATTTATTTATCCCTCAGTCCCCTGAACCTATTCAATGTATGGAACATACTAGGTGCTTAGTTATTGTCAAATTGATTCTGTCTTGTTTTTCTCAGAACTCTTATTTTTAAATTCATTCTTTCAAAAAACATGCTGACATTTGTTTCTGCTCCCAAAATATACTTAATCCACGCAGAAGTGCTTTGCTCACTTGACCAGAGATAATCTCATGTTTTACAGGATAATGTAAGACTCAGACTATTGGATGCTTACATCTTCTTTCCAGCTCATTTAAAAATAACTTAAAGAAATCTAACCTTAATGGCTCAAAAACAGCCTAGCATAGATGGCATATCTCAATGCTGTGGGACTATTCAAATGTTACATTTCTTTCTTTCAATTTTTACAAAATAATCAAGCTAGGAAAATAATGCAGCTTCTCATTCCTATTATGCCCTTACTCTAATTGACTGGGATTCTCCAGAGTCAATTGAAACTGAGTATGTTATCCCACCCAGTCATGGGACCTGGTTGTGTCTCTCTTTCCCTTTGTAGGTTTATATAATCATCTGTGGGGGAAGTGCTCAAAGTTGTGGGTCTACAAATGCATTCAGTTTTGGAAAGAATTTGGTTGGAGTTGGGAGGTGGGCTTCCTGAGACTCAGTTGGTGGCTGCCTTACTAATGCCACTGGGATTCTTCCAGATTGCTTCCAACATGCCAGTTGAGAATGAACTAGCAAAGCTCTGTGGGCCAGCGGAGCCTCCACCCTTAGGTGTGCTGCAGTGTCCCAGAGAAGTGCCCAATCAATCAACAGAATGCAAATAGAGAGCTGAGTGCATCCATCACCTTGTAACTGAGGTTTCATATAGATCACATGGTTTGGACTGGTGTTATTGATTTGGCACAAAATCTTCTGCATCTTTAATGACCACTTAATTGGGCAAAATGCTATTTTAAGAACATTCTAACACAAGTAAAGTTGTTATAGAAAAGTGGGAAAATTAAACAGTGTAGCAAACTTTAGAGCAACAGAAGTGTTTATTTCTTTGGCAAAATGGGTCTTCTCCTCACTGTGTGTCCAACACAGAACACAACACAATCTGTGATTCTTCTGCCAAGGAGCATGTCTATCATTTTTAGAGAAAATGTCAAGTTTTAATGCCCAATATTAGTCAGCTAGGGCCTGACAACATTTTGCATTTGTGTATCGCAATGCAATTTGCTAAAATGTTTTCTTACGCATTATATTGTTAGATTCTTGTTGATGCCATGACTTACATACCATTTAGGGCGACATAAAAAGTTTTGTGAGATTTCATAGTTTATTTAAGACCATGTGACTGTAAGTTGTATTTCTGGTAGTCAAACCTAGGTCTTTTGAGTTCCAAGCCCATTCCCTTTTATTAAGATGTGTGATAAACAATTCATAATTATGCAACAGAAGCACATATCCGCCTTGGCTATGAATTGAGAGAAACCAAAGAAGGCCTAGTATAAAGCTATCTTTCCTAGTGACCTTCAGGAGACATTTTAGCCATGTAAAAGCATTGTATTGCCTTAAAAAATTCCCAGGATAAGTGGCTAAAATAGGGACGTTGATGTGAGAGATATCCTTGGTCTATATCACAGGCACTGTGCTAGGCTTTGGTACCACAGAGATGAGTAGACATGGTATTACCCTTAAGTAGCTAGCACTGAACTCATTACACAGAGGATGTACGAGAATAAGGAAAAATTCTGAAGAACTGACTGTCATACCAAGTTCCAAAGGAAAGGTAAGCCAATTGATGTCCTACTCAGAGTATAGGTCCAGTCCTTGTAATGGCCCTGCCCCGGCCAGCATATCTGATCCTTCTCACTTCTCTGACCTCATCTCTTACCACTGTCCCTCCATGACTCAGCTACAACATCAGAGCCCTCTTACCATTCCCAGAACATCCCACTGGCAGTGGCTGTTTCTACTGGCCAGAATCCTCTTTTTCTAGTTGTCTGCTTGGCTAACTTTCTTACCCTTTCGGTCACTATCCTCTTTAATACTCCAACTTACATCTCTTTTTTCACTCTGCTCTGCACTACCAATCCTCCTGTTTATACTTCATTTTCCTTGTTTTTATCCATAACAGTTGCCACTTTATAACATAGTGTATACTTGTGTGTCTATTGTTTATTATCAGACTCAATTCTAGAATAAAGTTCCAGAACTTTATGCTCACCAAAGTGTTGGAAGCACCTAGGAGAGCAACTAGCACTGCCAATATTTGTCGAGTGAGTATGATTTACAGGGCACTCGTTTTGAGCCCCAAGCCTTTTTGTACATATTATTTTCATAATCTTATATACTCCTGGGTTGTAGTGTTTTACTCTCCCCATTTCACAGATGTAAAAACTGAGAGCCAAAGAGCTTAAATATCCTAAGTTCATGCAGCTGATCCATTGCAGATTCTTTGCAGTACACCGTACTGACTCAGTCTGGCAAGGAGAGGGATTTAGACAATTGCTGTACAACTACTCTGTCTGGGTCAAAAGAATTGACAGCTCTGGGTGAACAATGCTCAGGCATGGACATGGCTAGTTGTCAAAGACAGGTTAGCAGAGGGTGGAGGAATAGCCTTCGGTATTTGTGTATGGAGAAACAAATGGGGTAATAGGAAAAGGACTAGAAACATCCAGGAGCAGAGTTAAACCGTGATAAAGATCATTCTTTATAGGAATCAGATGGAGCAGGGTGGGAGGTGGGTCTCACGGGCAGCAGAGCAGAGTGGAAACACTGAAGGTGGCCTCAGACTGAAAGATAAGCTCTTAAATTCATCAATGGATGGGGTTCCCTAATGGTGCCCCCTTCCCATCTCAGCCTGGTGTGCATGCCAGATCATTCTTTTTAAAAAACAAATGTTGATTACCGATATTATTCATTCTGCATATTATCTTCCCTTTGTATTGAAGCATATGTCTCTGGGTCTCTGTCCATTTAATCACCATTTTCCTTGCTGATTTTATTTCTTCAGAAAAGTTCTGATAACATGTTCTGGCAGAACACAGGAAGACAGGCGCTTTGGAGGGCAGCAGTGTGGTTAAGAGATCATGCAGACTCAGACCTATTATTCTGAATTCTAGCCTCCCCGCTTGCTAGCTACCTAACCTAAGGCAAGTTGCTTATGGATCTTAGCCTCAGTTTCCTGAACTGAGAAATGAGCTTGATCATTCAAAATGGTATGGTTGTGAAGACTGGACATATCTTAACAAATTTCCTTCAAGAGCCCAGAACGGTGA